AATCCACTCACCTCAGCCTCCCAAGGTGCGGGATTACAGGCTGAGCCACCGAGCACGGCTGGAAGGAATCTTTTAAAGAAAATCTCACCTTGTACAGGGCGTGGTGGCTCAGGCCTACAATCCAGCAATTTGGTAGGCCATGGTGATAGGGATTGACAGAGCCCACGGGTTCAAGACCAACCTGGGCAAATTGGTGTGACCTCATCTCTACAATAAATCAAAAAATTAGCTGGATGTGGTGCCTGTAGTTTCAGCTACTTGAAAGGCTGAGGCGGAAAGATCACCTGAGCCCAGAAGGCTGAGGTTGTGGTGGCCGTGGGTGTGCCACTGCACTCCAGCCTGGGCAACAGAGTGAGACTCTGACTCAGAAAAAAAAAAAAAAAAAAAAAGAGGAAGAAAAAGAAAGGAGGGTCTTGCCCTGTCGCCCCAGGCTGAAGCTTAGTGGTGCAATCATAGTTCATTGCAGCCTTGATTCCTGGGCTCTGGCAATCCACCCACCTCAGCCTCCCAAGTAGATGGAACTATAGGAGCATGCTACCATGCCCGGCTTATTTTTTGATTTACTGTAGAGACAAGGTCTAACCAAGTTGTCCAGCTGATCTCGAACCCCCAGGCTCAAGCAATCCTCTCACCTTGGCCTCCCAAAGTGCTGGGATTACAAGCTGAGCCACCACACCCAGCTGACCCTTGTGTCTTAAAAAAGAAAGGAAAAAAGAAACTCACCATTAATCTAAAACTACAACAATAAAAATGAATTTTAAAAAGTTCCTTAAAGTCTGCATTTTATACAAAAGTAGGTTAATTAGGTTAGCATAAGGAGGCTCTTTAAAATGTTAACGTAGTAAACTAAGGAAAGATTTCCAGATAAATGGGAAGAACAAAGGTGGGAAATGTGAGAGACTTTGAGGTAAAAAATGGAGGAAAATGAAATGGGAGCCAGATTAAGAAGGGTGTGTGTCAGCTGGGTGCAGTGGCTCAAGCCAAGGTGAAAGGATTACCTGAGCCCACGGGTTCCAGACCAGCCTGGGCAACTTGGTGAGACCACGTCTCTACAATAAACCAAAAAATTAGCTGAGCGTGGTGGCACAAATCTGTAGTTCCAGCTCCTTGGAAGGCTGAGGCGGAAGCCTCACCTGGGCTCAGCAGGTCGAGGCTGCGGTGGCTGTGAGCGTGCCACTGTACTCCAGCTTGGGCGACAGGGACTCCAACTCAAAAAAAAAAAAAGGTTGTGTGAGAATCTGAGAGGCGTGAGGAGGTTGGGCAAGGAGTGGGGGAAGCAACAATGCACACTCAGGAAGGTGAAAGACTAATTGGTGGTGCGGGACGCCAAGGGGGCTGCCAGCTGGGTGTAGGTGTAAATGAAAAGAGAGGACGGGAAGTAGAGAAAAGTGGGAAAGGGGGTAGGTGGTCAAGGACGGGTGAAGAGGGAGCAGATACTTTAGGAGATTTCGGGAGGATGGATGGGGCAATGGCTTGGGGAAAGAGAGCAGGAATGCCAGGATGAGGTGGGTGGCTGAAGGCCCATCAAAGACCACCTGGGAGAGCTAGATGTGAGGGAAGCCAGACAGTTGAGGAGACAAGAGAATGTACACCAGTAAGCCTGCCCAGACTCAAACCGGAAAGGGAAACGGTGAGTGGCTGGGGAAAGGGTGGGGAAGGTGGAGGATAGATTTGAAAAGACTCCAGGGGAGTGGAATGATGGGTGTGGCCAAGACTCTGACCTAGACCTTACCCAGCTCCCCACCCTTATCTGGCTTCTGGCCTTAATGGTTTCTTCTTCCTGCCGGGAGCCTTGCTTCTAGGGGAGAAAGAGACAGGTGGGGAGGGAAGGTGGCGAGTGACCGGCCCAGGCAGTAAGTCCATTCTAGGATTGGAATGGGGGCCAGGAAGATGGAGGCTGTTGGGAGCCACGCTCAGAAGCCGGGTGTCCGGGGGGGGCGCTGGGACGGCGAAGGGGAGGGGGTTCAGGCGAGGCGCCCCTGGGAGTGGAAACTCCAAGAAGGCTGCTGAAGGTGGCGAGACTCAGGGATAGACCAGGGCCCCTCAAGGTGGGATCGGGCAGGATACGAGGCAGAAGGAAAATGAGAAGAGCAGAAAGTGGGGGCGAAAGTGGGGCCGGACGAAGAGCACTTAGGGCAGAAATCGGCAGGGAAGGGCGGTGCGAGGTTGGCCGGGGCGGTCCCCAGCGCAGGCTCCGCAGCGTGCCAGGCGCATCTGTTGGGAAAAGGGGAAGGGGCACCCGGGTGCCCGAGGGAAGTCCAGTCCGGAGGAGCGGACTCCTGACGCGGGTCTCCCGAGAAGCCTCCGCCTCCTCCCCACAGGCGGCCAAAGCCAGCAAGTGAAGGGGCGTGACCCGGGTGCTCAGGTTTCTTCCTACTCACCTGGGCAAGGAGGGGTGGGGGCCGAGACTTCCGGTTCAGGTGACTGTCCCTTCGGTGACGTCAGGTCACCCTCGGCCGCCCCTCCGGT